CTGTGTTGTGATTCCACTACGTACATTTTTTAAACACTGTGTTTATCTGTAGTGATGTGGTTACACTTCGTTTACCTTTAGTGAGGAAGAAAATTGCATCTGGAGAGGCAAAAGGGACGCTTTGGGACTGCATTCTTGGTGTGGGTATTACTCTTCTAAAAAGCCATTGTGCTGTATGCTTATGGTTGGTAGATTTTTTTCTTTATATTGTCACCCTTCGATGAATAATAGTTCACCCCCAAAGATCCCATCATTTTATCCTTAGAAAATAGCCATACTCTTTCTTCTGAATCAGAGGATAAATATCAGAAAGTAGACTATTAATGACTGAGAAGCACTGCAGCCTACACTCAGCAAAACACTCACATTGGAGATGGCTCAGCTTGGAGCACTAGTGAAAGTGTACAGGCTACCAAAGTCGGCAGCCATTGGAGTCGTGCTGAGATAGCTCACCTTACTGAGACACACCAGGATATAGTGCCTGTATGGAAGGGACTCATGGAAATGAGCAAATCTAAACAGAACACAGTTAAAATGCTGATGATATGCATAACGTTAATCCATTGGAGTCAGAGAAAGGAAGTTTCATAAGGTAATGATAGAACTTAGCTAAATCAAGAAAGTAGTATATTTTTTCCAAGAAACTAATGTGTTCCATGAGTATATGTGGTTCAGCACAACTAAAGGACCTGTATTTCTTGGGGAGAGGGGTAAAAAGATGCTTCTTCTATTGAGAATTTGCATTATGTAGTAGAAATAACTTAAATAAACTTAGAAGCCAAACTTTGGTTGGACACTACCAGTACTGTGCCTTTGGGCAAGTGATTCAGTTTTACTAAATCTGTAAAACTGGTGAAACCATAGCTATCTTTTCAATATATTGTTAAGATTAAATGTGATCTGGAAGATGATAGTAACTATCCAAATCTAAATCTCTTCAGTGTCCTCACCAAAAAAATCATAAGACAGAAAAGGACTACACACACACACCATACAAAAGGCACACCTTTACCAGTACAAGATAGATAATACCATACATTTTTTAAATTACCTTTATGTATGGAAGTAGAAAATTATATCCATTCCTGTTGCTCTTACAAACATGTGGTTGTGGAAAGCGAACAAGGAGCAGCCTGTGAAACCATAAAGAAAAGGAGAGAAATTAATTTAAAGCACAGACAGAAGCTTCAGACAAAAGTCAGAAGCCACAAATCCCATATGCCTGGGATTCCATCATTTATAAAACTGGCAACAGAAGAGGTATGTGAAGGTGAGAAGGACCAAAGTAGCAGCAGCAGAGCTGCACTGCTCCTAGAAGAGGAAACGCTAAAGGTGTTGCCTTTTGGTGGCATGGCAGTGAAGGAAAAGAAGGAAGGAAGGAGAAAATGAAGGGTTATGGAGGAATAAGACACAAAGCATAGCAGCCAACCCCCAAACCCACCATGACATCATCTGTTGGAGGAGCCCACTCTTTGAATCTGCAGAGGCAAACATTCTTAACCCTACCCACAAAATGCCCAGGAATAGAAATGAACCAGATGCTATACAAGCTACTTTAAGAGGAACAGAGAAATTGTGACTGAAGACATTTCAGCTTATAGAAATCCTTTCCCAAAAAGCAAACACAAAATTCCCATGACAGAATGACCTCAAACAAACTTGTACACAGTTAAGAAGAAAAATAAAAACAAGCAGAAATCCAAAATCTTAAGACAGCAAAAAATTGCAATAAGATTTGATTAAACTCAGGAAAGAAACTGAAGAGAAAAGCAAGGCCATTTCCCAAGTAACACACTAATCATGTTATCTAAGAGAGTAAATTTAAATAAAAATCTAATAAAGCCCATTGATAGGAAGGAAAACACCAAGAAAATGAAAACAAAATGTAGAAAGAAGAAACCAGAAAGATACAGACGCTCACTGGACAGAGTTCCATTCCCATAACAAGGTCACTAAAAGGAATTTTAAATAGTATGTACTTTACAGTATTCAGAACAAAGGAAACTCCAACTTGACTGCTTTTATTTGCATAACTCTTACATGCAATACTCTAATGTGTAACAATATAAAACTATAGTACTGTACAGAACAATAAGCAAAAATTAAAGTACTGTATAAACAAGATGTACCATATAATAAAGACATTGAAGGCTCTGTAAGATGTACAGAACTATATCAAAAATGGATCATAAGTCTGAGCTGTAGGTCATAAATACAAACAGCATGCTTTAGTCACAAATCTGTGAAATGGGTAGGTCATTAAACGAGGAGTATCTATTAGACATTATCATAATAGTTTAATGAAAATGATTTTTTTTTTCTTAACATTTGCTCTCCAGTAGCCTTTAAAATAAGATACAGCAGCCACCAATAATTCATCACATCAGCTGGGTTCAGGCAAATTGATCCCACACATGTCAGAAAAGGCAGGAATGAAAATTACTCAGAAAATCCAAGGTATCTTACAGTATAGTGATAATGTATAAAAGTACTCATCGATAATCATGGTTACAAAATAGATGCAATCCAGATATGATCTTTAGCAAATCAATAAAGTGTCTATTCCTGTGTTTTTTCACACGCCCTTTCCTGACATCTTAGCAGCTTCCGTGAATTCTGGAAGGTTACATTGATATTACTAGAAACTGTGTTTTGAATATACAGTTTGTCTCATTAATGAAGGAGCTTCTGCAGGTCATTGTAAGGGACCAGTGAAAACTCAAATACTACTAAGATGTCACAAAACTCATTGCAAATGCTAAATATCCCACAATGGAACTGTCATTAATGGAGCCACTGCTCTGTCCGTATATGCAGTATAAATACTTTTGAGCATAGAAAGACATATGAAGAATGTATTAAGGAGCTTACTGTTCAGGAGTGCAAGACAAAAACACATGAAACATCTGAGAATTTATGTAACTCCAAATGAATCAGTTTCATTATCACTTCAGGAGCTGGTGAAAGCAAACAGTCCATAGAACCGAGCCCAGTACAGAGTCCCCTGAAAAATTTTCTGGCCCTTTGGCACAGCTGTTTTGCCTGTATCATTTATGATCAGTGGGTCTCATAAGACCATGCTCCAAATCACTCCCTTCTGCATTGAAACAGGCAAACCATGTATATTGTGGGTATTGTGGCAAAACAAGCAACCTCAATATCCAAAAGAATATCAGGTAGCTTGTTTTTCCCCAGTACCAGACATTATAGAAATAATATATATTTTGAAGACAGTTGTTGTCATGCAGCTTATTTGTACAACATGCTTAGTGAATATCTCTAAAATACAATAGGCTACAGCTTTTCCTTGTTTAACAACTGGATTGTGGTCTTGTGACTAGGTCGTTAACTGAATTGGTCACTAAATGTGGAATCATGTGTATAGAATATACATTAAAATATTCAGAACAAAGAAATGATGAAAGGAAACTCCAACTTGATGGTTTTGCTTTTATTTGCATAAATCTTACTTGCAGTACTGTAATGTATATCCACACAAAACTACAGTAATGTACTATACAGTACAATCAACAGAAATTACAGAATCATATAAACAAAATGTACTCCAAAAAAGACTTTGCAGCTCTATAAACAAAATGTACAGAATCCTACAGAAAGAAAAAAAAAAGATTAAGTCCCAGCAGCACACCTTTAGTCCTAAGTCCAGTCATTAACCAGATAGGTTGTTAATCAAGGAATATCTATACAGGCAAAAGAAGACCCAACACACTTAAAATTAAGTGAAGAATAAAACTCGATACAGTAAACCATAATCCAAGGAAAATTTTCAGAAATAATAGGAAAACTGAAATCTAAAATGTTTCTTTCTGAGGGAAGAAAAAATAATAAAATAGCTTATATCAGATTTCTTAAGAACAATATTCAAAGGAATGCTACTGTAGAGCAATATTTTTTGAAATCCAAAGTGCAGTCTAGTCAACCTGTCCTCCAAGTATCAGATAGTGTAAACTTGCACAAATTTAGGAAATAGCACAAATTCCACATGTTTAAATGTAGACCCAAGACTAAAACAGTGATGGAGATGTGGTTGCTGTATGCTTTAACAAGGGGGAAATATTAGCTAAATAATTATTTTACAGATAATAAGTGGGAGTCATAGGACATCATTTAAAATGAACAGACCAAGCAAAAAGTTAAGTAAGCAAAGAAAAAATTTAGAGTACTCTAAAGTATACACACACACACACACACGCACACACACAGAACCACTGGAGCAAAAAGTACAAATCTTCCTAATTTAAAAAAAAAAAGGTATATAAGTAAAAATTACCAAAAAATACCACACTGAAAAAAAAGTCTGAATAATAAACTGATTATCAAAGAACAAAGAAATTCAAACATATCGGTCATCTCCATAATTAATGAGCTGATTCAGCAGAAACTGATTTTCAAATGGCTTCATACAGCAAAACCTAATTCTGTACTGTGTACAGAAGACATATGTAAAACACTAGAGCTGCTCCTGAGAAAAAGAAGGGAGCCTTCCTTCCTTTCCTTTTTCATTCCACCTGAGCTCAAGCCTGTTAGCTGGTGCCGCCCACATCCAGGGTGGATCTTCCCTCTTCAGTAAGTTTGTCCCTCAGTCACACTAGAACTATGCTAAGCCAATTAGCTGGGCATTTCTTACCCAACTTGACAGAACAGTTAGCTGTCATGATCATTGTTTAAAAGAGAAAATAAATCTTTAGCTCATGCTGACATTCCTCATTGAAGTTTATAATTACAAAAGTTTTCTTTCTTATATCTCTTTCATGCTAAAATCCTAGGGTCCTGATGCTATTAACAATTAATACATTTATCATAACCTACAGTTCTGAATTAGCAATACTGTTATTATTACTAACAGTGTGATTATTACAAAAAGTTTAAGATACGTTTGTTGTTCTTTTTGTCCATAGGCTATTTCCTAATATGTGTGTACAAATACTGTGTTTTAAATTAACTTGAAATAATTTCTCTTTGTGTGGTTAAATCACCAGCTTCCTACATAGGTAGGTACACTTATTTCATTGTGCTTTTACTTTTATAGTTTTATTATCTTCATTTTGATTTTTTTGCTATGTTAAACATATTTTAATAATTCTCAATAGCTAACAATAGTGTTTATTTTAAATAATCAGGGAACAGTTTAATCAGGAAAATGTTGTGATTCATGAAAAACATTTTTTCTAAAATAGGTGAGAAATTTACTATAATCAGTAGTTTATTCCTATGTACCAACTGGGAGTCTGTTACCTCTAAGGCAGACCTAAAAAATCCTGCAAACCACTGCCAACCATACAATTTCTAAATATTACTTCCAGGATTTCACATCAGTATTTTCTAAGACTTTGTAACCAATAAAACTTTGTATGAAACTTATTTAAACCCCTTGTAGGGCCTAAATTAAATAGATAGTTGCTCATCTACTTTTCAAATATAAAATAAAATGTTACATGTAAATTTTTATCATAATAGGGCCGGGGATATAGCTCAGTGGCACTGCCCCTGCCTGGCAAGTTCAATTCCTGAGTTCAATTCCTGGTACTGAAAGATTTTTTTTTTTATGCTAGTAAAAAAAGATATACTCTGACTTAAAATTTGCTAAAGACTTTAAATGATTATTTTGGGTTATGAAAGTATTTTTGTGACATCAGCAGCAAAATGTAGGATTGTAGCTACTATACCTCACTTTGAGAGCTTGAATCCTGAAGTGTATACTTTTCTGATCTCCCTTTTCAGAGGCTGATAAAATACCAGTAATGCGTGGACAGTGGTTTATTGATGGTACTTGGCAGCCTCTGGAAGAAGAAGAAAGTAATTTAATTGAGCAAGAACATCTCAGCCGTTTTAAGGGTCGGCAGATGCAGGAAAATTTTGATACTGAAATGTCAAAATCCATAGACGGAAAAGATGGTAAGACTGGTTAATAAATTTGCTCTGTAAACTAAGAGTTCCTAAGTGTGATAATGGTAGTTGAGGATTAGAATTTATAAAATTTGAATATTTACTTAAAGGTGATGGGGGATAGAACCCAGGGACGTATGCTAGACAGATGCTCTGCCACTGAGATATGGCCCCAGCCCTAAAATTTGATTTTTTAAAATATTCAATAATTATTCTAGAATTGAAAACTATCTAAATTTTTGTTTTGCTTAATATATATGCTACATTGCATGATACTAACACAATTTATTATAAATGCACAAATTGCTATATTGTACTCCCTAAATTAGTCTTTTGAACAGTTTTATAGTTATCAAAGGAAATTGATCTTACCAAAAAATTTTTAACGAAAATTCCCTATCATATCAGTAGAACTATTTTTTTGGTGTTTTGATGTTGCTTCTTTTCCTGTAATTAAAAACTTTTAATTGCCTTTGTGTACCTCAGCTATCTCCCTAATGACAGTAATTGGTTTCTGATTTTACATTTGCTTATTCAGCATTTGAATGTGTTTGCAGTAGTTAAAAATATTATACAGTTGCCATGTTTTCATTATGTGTCTGAGTAAAATTCAAAATATGTGGTAAAGTTAAAAATACTTCTATTGTTCCATTTACTGCAGGCAGTGGGATCAACTATTCCGGTGAGTACAAAATGTACAGGTAGATTAGAATGTGTAGATACTGCTTTAAAATTATTTCTAATCTAAAAGCGTTTCTTCATCCATGCTTGCCTTTATTTGGGAGGTTTCTTGGCAAGCCCCACTGAGCCTACTGAATTAAAATGCAAATTTGAGTGACTTTTTTCCAAATAATTCTAAAGCAGAAAAATTCAGTTTTGATCAGATAACTTACTGAATGCACCTTGAAAAAACAAATGATGTGAGTGGACGTGACTGTTCATATAATGTCTAATGGCAAAATAAGCTTTATATTGGCTAAAGATTTTATTCTCCCTTTCCTGCTTTTTACTATCCTTATCTCTCTCTGAAGATACATATGTACATACTGGTCACAAGCAACAGTTTCCTTATATCAGATTAAAATATCTTTTGCATCTACTTGGTTAAAAATCAATGTAACTGAAGAAAATTGTGACTTCAGAATAAGTTGGCAGTTAAATCTAACTTTTATGTAATATTTGTCTATTATGTGCAGATACCATACTACAGGAGTTATAAATATAATCTCATTTTTCTAATCTGTAGAATCAAACGTGTCCTTATTTCACTGGAAAATTCACACTGAAGTTGTTACTTATCAATATGTATTCAAAGTAGTTCAGTATAAGAGCTACATGCCTGCAATTTGCCATAGAAATAAATACTCTGCTTTTGTTAAGGGCAAAGATAGGCAACTTTATATAGTATCTGTGATTTTTATCTTAGTGAGTGAAATATTTTGTAACCTCTCATCACTACTACCAGAATAATCTCAGATCCACTTCATAGTATGATGAATGATGAATTTCTTAATATAAAATAATTTTATTGCCACTGGAGAAGTCTTGAGTTTTTAAGGTTTTTTTTTTCCCCTGTGTTCTCCTTAAGTCTTCTGCAGTTCACCTTACCAAACCAGGTTAGCCACACAAATTCCTTACTCTTAGTGAAGGATAAAAAGATAAAGGCTTAGAGGGAAAAAAAAAAAAGGAAGAATATACAAAATTTAATAGATTGTTTCCCTTTCTTTTGTATGTTCAAAACATATTTGTCAATTTGTTACCCATCCTAGTGGAAGTTAGTCATTAGCTCAGTTCATCTCTAGCTCCCACCTATTGGGAATCTTGCCTGCAGTGAAATTGAACTTAATATGTCCTTTTTACTTCTGCTCCCTAAATACTAAATATAAGCAAATTCTTCAGTTTTTCTCAAAATGCCCAAATTTAAATGAGTCTGATACAAGAACCTGTTTTATTTTGTTAGATTTTTAGTATGTCTTTGAGTATAAATATGTATGTCAATTCTAGGGTATCAATCTAGGATAGTATAGCAGTATTCTTATCTTAATTAGTAATGACCATATGATTAAACTTGAAATATTTTTGCATTGTAAACTTTCAAAATTGATCTTTTGGAGTTTTGTAGAAGAAAATTGATTTTTTTTAAAATGCACTGTCACCTATAGGCCAAGATTCAGCATGCTTCGTTATTAATAAAGATTATCAGTAAAATTCCATTTAAATATACTGTTAGAATTTTCAGTCATTTGCTATGTATTAAGATATGACGTTTGACTTTGAAGAGTATGAAAAATTTCATAGTACATTTGGAAACTATATCTGGTCTGAAGAAAAGAACATCTACCATCCCAAAAGCCACAATTTTCAATCCCAAAAAGCCAACTTTTGAGGAAAAATACCTTAAATTTATAGTATCTACAAAGATTAAAAAATAATCTTTCTGTCTTTTTTTACTTTTACCTCTAAGCTCCTAAAATTTTGTATTTCATTAATTTGAGGGGAAAAATATATTTTCCAACTAAATTTTCTGATATATATATATATATATATATATTTATATTTACTAAAACCTTGACTTTTCATGTTGTGTGGAGATTCTCAGTGTTTCCAAATACAGATATTGTACCTAGTCACTTTTGTGAAAGAAATAGACAGTTTTTACCCTCGAGCAGTTTCATCTTACTTAGAAGACCAAACCAACACATAAGAACAGTTACAAAGGAATAAATAGAAGATGGCATAGCACAGAGTAAATATTAAATATTCTGAAAAGATACTTGGAATAGTCAGTAATCACAGTGATCTGGAGTTACTAAAATAAGGCTTTCTGAGACGGGCGTGGTGGCGCACGCCTGTAACCCCAGCACTCGGGAGCCTGAGGCAGGAGGATCGCTGTGAGTTCGAGACTAGCCTGGGCTACATAGTGAGTTCCAGGTCTGTCTCAACTACATAGTGAGACCCTATCTCAAAAACAAAAAATAAATAAGGCTTTCTGGGAAATCCCATTTTATATAAAGTTTGTTTAAAAAAACACTATATTTGAGGACTTATTAAATGCTCTAGGGAATTTGAAAGAAATAAATTCTTGACTAAGGGATATTAAAATAAGATAATTCCCTTTTTATCAGATTTTATCTGTTTTGTTAGGATAGCTAGATTACATGTATTCAATATTTTCCTAACCTCAAAATGTGCATTGAATTAAAGACATCAATCACAGTTTGGTGAAAGTTCTGATATCCACATAAATGTAATTTACAAAAAGATAATCCCTTTTTGTGTTTTAGGTCCTGAAATCTAAGCTTAGTTATCCTGAGACCTAACATGAAAATTGATTCTCTCCCATCTAACCCCAGGCTAGGAAACATTTATCCATCAGCCTAACAAATGGAAGCATGTTGTTTCTCTTGAGTTTAGTCCTCCAAATAAAATCAGGACTTAAAATACATAGCTCGGTAATATCCAAGCACATGAAATAATTAGTTTTAAAAATTGAAATAAATAGGTTTTAAAACATATCATTCACCAGAAAATAATATATCCATAATTTAATAATGAGAAAGCATCAGACAAATTCAACTGGAAGACCATTCTTCAAAATAACTAACCAGTAGACTCAAAAAGATCAAGGTCATGAAAGACAAGTAAGAACTGAGAAGTTTGTCATAGTCAGAAATGAAACATGACAAACTGCAGTATGGCATCCTGGATTGGATCCTAGAACTGAAAAAGATTAGTGGAAAAAATAGAGAAATATGGAATTCCGACTTGGCCAATTAAAGGAGGTGTATTGGAGATACTTGGAGGAGAGCCACCAAAAACATATAGGCATTCTGAAATGTGGGAGGCTGTCACACCCAGAAATGGAAACTCAATCTAAAAGATGAATCCTTTGGATGAAACAAAATATCCTAGTTGTTGGAATGGGGAAGCAGTGCCATCATTCGCCTCCCCCTGCACCCTCTGCCCAGAGCCACCACCCTGGGAGCTGAGGGAAGTCTGAGGAAAGGAGCCAGCCCCGCAGAGGCTGGACTCCAGCATGGGCTCCCTGGACCCACTGCCCACTGCCCAGCATCAACAAGGGAGACCAGGCCACCTGCCCTAAGCAGAGAGAGGCTGAATACTGCAGACTCTAGACAGCTGGCAAGGACCTACAGATGACATCTGCAGACAGACAGACTGAACAGAGCTGGTCCAGAGTGGGTGCTTTCCTGTTATTTTCCTAAACACCACAAAGATCTGAGTCTGGGAAAATCTGTCTACCACCCAGTCCTGCACCTCAAAAGAGACCCCCGTGGAGCTCTTGAAGCAGGGATGGTTGGAGGTCTGAGCGAAGGAGCGGGGTCAGTGGGGCAGAGAGCTTCTGGCTGTATGCGAGGGGGAAGACCCCTCGAGGAAGAATACTGAGCCAAACAAGGATTTGCCTGGCAGAAAGGGAGCAAGCAGATGTGGGAAGTCACTGGTGCAGTCAGTAGAAAGCCTCCGGGTGTCAGGCAAACTACTTCCCATCCTCCTCTTCCCAGATTAACTGAAGTAGTTGGATCTTGGGATAGTGACAAAGGTCAGCAGCCACATCCAGATCAGGGCTTGCAGCCAGGAAGTAGGTCCAGAGAGAAGGACGGAACACCTACAGCCGACTCCAACTACAGCAGGAAGGAAATTGTATGGACTCTGGCTATATTGTGCAGCAGCCATGTGGGGTTTTTTGTGTTTTCTTGCTTGGGTGTTTGTTCTGGGTTCTCTCCAATTTTGTTTGAGGTTGGTTTTTTTGTTTTGCTTTGTTTTGGGGGGATATTTTGTTTGTTTGTTTTCCTTATTCAGTTCTTACATCTGTTGCTAGTCATTCTAGCGTTCTTTGGCTCAATTCAGGTGGAAATTATAAATTGGCAATGCCATCCTCCATCATCACCATAGGTCAACTCTGCCAGGTGCTGGTCTCCTCCTGCCAGCCACCGCCTTCCTTTGCCAGCTTGTGCTGAACAAAAGTCAGCTGTGTCTGATGCTGGTCTCTGCCTCTGGTCTTCATTGAATGCCGGCCCCTGGAGCTCTTTGGTGTTAACAACTCTTGAGTGTTTATTGTTCTCTCTTGGAAACAACCACTTTGTCTACACTACTCATAAAAATCCCAAGCAGATATATATGACTTTTGAAATGTATGCTGTGCAAGAATTAAGTCAGGAGCAGGTGTATAGGAAGACCCGGTGAGCCTTTAATTTTAACAGGGCCTGTGCTGCAGCATGGGGGTCAGTACTCAGGAGGAAGCCCTCCTAGACTAAGCCCAGAATTGGCTGGGGAGTGCTGCTCATGTAGCAGCTTGCAGCCCTGTTTCAGTGAGGAGCGGACTGAAAGCTTTCTATGAATGTTGAGTGTGCACACAAGGGGCCCAGATCCCTCTTGTCCTGATCTTAGCCACTCCAGGGTGACCTCTTCCTTCTTCACAGAGGCATCAGTATCATCGGAAGTGGCAGTAGAGTGGGTGGGGCACCATGCTGACTCCATCGCTGTATGAGGTTGAATTGGAGGGTGGAGGTTTGAAGCAAACTATTCCAGTCCATGGGGGTGTGAGGGGAGGCAAGGGGGATGGGCAGACAGCCACTGGTAAGCCACACCACCCTCCAGCTGGCAGGTTTATTTTTCAAGTTTCCTTTTTTTTTCTCTTGGTCTTTTTTCTCTTTTTAAATCTTCTTTCCTCCATATTCTATTCACTCTTCCTCATTTTATATTCACTCTTCCTCATTTTACTTATTTTCCTGTCCTCCCTCACTGCTTTTCCACCTATATATGTACAAAAGAGGGTAAGAATAGACACCTGAGCCTTAACTCGAATGGCGGGGTGACCCTTAACAGAAGGGTGTGTACACAATTCACAGCTAACCACAAATACCGTAAATTAACAGGATCCAACCTCACAGTGTCACTCAGCCTCCAGTTATACCTTCCTCCCCACACCTCTACAGCTATTTTCGTAAACCTCCCTAACACTAACCCTTTCTCCAGTTCTAAAAATACCTCCGAGTCTGACCTCCTATCTATGTTTTACCTATTAAAATTGCTCTTAGCGCCCTCTCCTACTGACTTTCCCCTTTTTCCCCTTCCTACTCCACATCCCATACTCACTGCCTATTACAGTAAAGTACAGTCTGTAAGGGGCATTAACAAAAGGGCAAAAATGTAAAAGCAAGTTTGCATGCCTGTAATTGATGTAGGGTTGTATGTATAGGTGCTGATAGGACCAGTAGGAATATTCTCTACAACACGGTGACAGGATCCATCCCACCTGCCATCCCCTATGGTGGAGGTAGACAATACCTGTTCACAAAGCTGAGACCAAATCTGTGGAAAGCAGAACCTAACTAAAGAGCTCTTCATACCAACGGCGGATTCCCTTTACTGTATTAGACCTCAGCCTTATCTGTGTGCATGCACACACACACACAGGAACACGAAAAAACAGGGCAACAAAGTTGCTGCAAAGACTCCCAACTCTCGCAGAGCAGATCCAAGGGACAGCAGTGAAGAAGAAATCAAGCAGCAAATAGTTGAGCTGCATGAAATGATTAAAGAGGAAGCAAAGAAACCTGGTGAGCGCAAAGATGACCCAACCCAAAGTTAGTGGAACAAATAAATTGACCGATGTGATTATAGAAGAAACAAGAAAAAAAATAGAAGAGCTGACCCAAACCATTCAAAACCCGAATGATAAATTTACCAAAGACACAGACTATGAAAAGGTGACAGACAGCAGTTCCGGAGATAAAGAATTCTGTTGACTGCACAAACAGCAGAGGTGACAATGTGAAGAGAGAGTGTCAGACCTCAAAGACAGAGTGGAAACACTGGATGATGTTCTTAGAGATACCTGAAGTGTTGGCATAATTTTAAAATGTGGTCATGGTCGCTGTTTTCCATTACTTGGAATTTGGTTCATGTTTTATTAGTTTATGTTTCTCTGTGTAGCAAATTCTCAGGTTTGTGTCAGTTTGACCTACTTTGGTGTGTTAGCAGCTTTTCCTAATGAAAGTTTTGTTTGAAATTGTTTCCTGGTCTAAGTGGTGTACCCACGCCTGAATAACTGGCCAGAAGGCACATGAAAGAAGAAACATTTCAGTGAAGAAAATTGCTTCAAATGTCATTTTCTACCTCTGTGACTTTGAAATCTTTTTTATAATCCTGATTTAACAACCAGCTTTTAGTCTTTGTGTGTAGTTCTTATAGCACTCTTAGCTACATATAGGTGTAGTTACTAAGTATATAAACTTAGCATTACTTTATTAGCATTTCCTAAATAACTTTGTTGTACAAATCTTTGCATGTACTTTATCTGTATATACAACAGATTTGTTATACAGCAGAAATTAAAGATGTTTGCATTTAAGCAGTATTTAACCTTTAAATGTCAAATATAATGTAGAAGGAATTGAAGATGAAAATCAAATATAATAGAACATAAAATTTAAATCATAGAAGTTCTAGAATTTACTAGCTAAACTAGTAAATTTCATTTTGTAACTTTCAATTTCAAGGGGATTTAAACAATTACTTGCTTAAAATATAGGTAAATTTATTGATACATAACTAACAAAATTTGACCAGGAATATGTTGACTTTAAGGTTATCTACTGATTTTCCAAATATCAGGCCTGGCTTTTCTCTGTGTTGTCTGTTTCATGCTTACAAGATATCACAACATACATTTTTACTAATAATGTTCTTTGTATTATTCTGTCACTAATCTTTACAAAAGGTAGTTAAAAGTAGAGCTTCCAATTTAATTTTGGCTTTATGTACTTCATTTGTAAAAGGCTTTCAGTGACTTGAATAAAGTTGTGAAAAGAATATCTTGATTCTAAGGGAAGACTCAAGCCAACCCTCAATACTTCAGTATTGGAAGACATCTGGTGGAATGTATATTGTGGTATCTTTTTAGACAAGCTCTGTTAGATGTTTAAAATGCTTTTATTGCATTCTCAATTTGTACACATCTGTTCACTGTAATAGTCACAAATCTGGTTAGAGTAAATAACCTTAATATTGTAAAAAATGCCATGTTCTATTTTTAATGCTGTCTATGCAAAGACATAACTGATAATCACAGAACTGTCTGTGACTGAAAATTTAAATATTTGCCTTTGTTTCTTTCAGTAAAAGTAGAGCATATATTTGATAAACATTAAGCTAATGATTTGCTTTTACTGATTTTAACTAGAAATTCTATAAATGAAGCATTTAGAATAATGTTTGTCAAATACAACTCCTTTTTTTGAGTTAATACTAGAACAAAAAGCCAGAATGGCAAGCCTTATTTAAATTTACTTTGAAGCTCAGTGTTTTTGCTTTCTTAGTTGTCTACCACCTCCCTCCCTTCTCCCTCCCTTCTCTCTTCAAATGGAGAGGATATAAGGAGAGTTCAGATGCGGCAGGTCTTAAACGAAAGCGTTCCCAAGGTACAGTAATTGTAGTTTTATTTCTGTATGTAGTTGTATTCCCAGTTTATAGCATTCCTTGTGTTTAAAGAATAGAAACGACTAGTTTTTTTAAAAGTCTGTCCTTTATGCATAGTGTTGCTTTATTAGCCATGTGTATAAACATTTGTGAGCTGTGTTAATGGCCCAGTAATGAGATGTTCACCAATATTAAGAGGCTTTACTTTAAGACAATATGTAGATGGTTTAAGAATGAACAAAATTTTGCTGGCTCAACACTATTCTCTAAATATCTCAATCTTGTAGTCTTGATCTTTTTAGCTCATTGCTTACAATTATTTTAATAAGAATGTGGTTGAAAAATAATGTTAAACCTTTGCAGAAGTTCTTTTAATCTATGAAAAGATATTTTACTCAAAAAGCTGACCTTGTACATTGTTTTCTGTGGAACTGACAGTATTATTTATTGTGTTAATTGAATGTGGTCTTGTGTTCCGTGTCAGTAACGTGTCCTGGCGAGTAAGTAAAATATGAATTGATCTTTTATAAATTTTTGAAATTACATTTATAACATAACTAAGAAGTACATTCTCTCATAGTGTACCGTTTATTCTTCTAGGGAATAGGTTTCTATACAAATACCTAATGACCTTAGACCTTGACCAGGGCTATGTCTTTTTATGTTTAACTTGAGGTTATTTCAGGTCAGAAAAGTTAACCCCTCCTGTAACTAGGTCTGTGACATATCATTTAATCTCTTTATATCTCAGTGCCTTAGTACAGAAAATAAGGGATAATACTCTACCTTAAATATGTTTTCAGACAGATCAGGCACAGTGATTAGAGGGAACCTATATTTCTGAAGATGAGAATGTGAACTTTTTTTCCCTGTATACCAGAGATAAAGAAAAAAGTTTAAGGCTATCAGAATATAAGAATTACCAGGGGCTAGGGATTTAGCTCAGTGGTACCCCACCTGCCTCGCAACACAAGGTCCTGAGTTCGATCTCTGGTACCAAAAAATAAAAAAATAAAAATAAATAAAAAATAAAAAATAAAAAAAAAAAAATAAAAAAAAAAAAAAATATATATATATCTATAAGAATTACCAGACTATGAATTGATGTACCATGGTTCCACAAGTATTACTGTATTCATGACATTTGCCAAGCACTGTTAGTATACTTTTTGATACAGGGATACAAAAGTGATCAAGAAATAGTCCATACCTCAGATGAGGTTCATGAGTTCTGGAATTATATAGGTTTGGATTTTTTTGTTTTAAATTCATTTGAACCAAATATAACCCCAATTATAGGAATGCGTTGACCACACTGATTTGAACACATGGTAGAAAAAAATTTTTAATTTCTTATTAAAATATCTTTTACCTTAGGATTTCTGCTATGACAAGTAATATCCAGTGATAAACTTTAATATTCAGTCCAAAAATCCCTTATATTCCCACAGATAATCCTCTTTCCACATTCTTGTTTTATCTTCCACCAAGAACAATTTTTATAGATTTTTCTGATATTTATAGTTAAATCTACAAGACAAATGGACGTGTTTCTAAATGAAAGTCATTGCAGACTTTCAAATAAGTATAGTATCTCTCAGCCCTGTGGAAGAGCCCCATCACGTATGAACACAGTTCCTTAATAATCAAAACACATTAACTTTGTATTAGCAGTTAAAATTGTGGTAGTTTTTCCATTTACTCCACATTATTTTAAGAAGTTGTCATTTTCTGTAGCATCATTAATCACTTATAAAATAAAAGCCCTACCCCATTACTTACTCGACAAAGGGGTTTTTTTTATTTTATTTGTTTCGGGTTTGTTTTTGGTTTTTGTTTTTGTTTTGGTTTTTGGTTTTTGGTTTTTGGGGTTTTTTTGGGTTTTTTTTTGGTACCGGGGATCGAACATGGGTCCTTGCGCTTGCGAGGCAGGCCACCAAACCGCTGAGCTAAATCCCCGGCCCTGTTTTTTTTTATTTTAATGAAATAGTTTATTGAGCTGAGTTATATATCTAAATTGTTGGGTAATTTTGATTCAAGGATCCAAGCGCTATATAATTTTGCATACAAATGAAGTTTGTTGTAGAGACCTTCAAATTTTTCTTTTTTGCAACAGCTATTCATAGTTTCAAATTGAGTCGAAACCACGTGGACTGGCACAGTGTGAATGAGGTGTACCTTTATAGCGATGCAACAACATCTAAAATCGCAAGAACAGTTACCCAGAAATTGGGATTTTCTAAAGGTAATTGTTAAAAATTACTAAGGTTGGTCAAAATCTGGGGATTTATTTTTTTCTTTTATCCAAAATAGACATTTCAAGTTCTATTTTTAGTATATGTTGAGTAGGTATTAAATTTAGTGAAATGAAACTTCTCTTAAGGTGATTGAGCTGACTTGTATTCATCAATGAATATACAGAGTGACCAGATTTCATAAGTATCTTTTATATTTGTAAAAGCATAAAAGCACTCAATGCTAAGGCATGAAAATAAAGCACAGCAATTGAAATCTAAGGTCAAGGAAGATAAAGACTGAAAATTTTCCATTGTATGCAGTGACATACAGTGTCACTGGTGACTTGAATTGGTGGAACAGAAGCCCGCTTGGCATGGCCGGGAGCATAAATAGAAGGTGAGGAAATGAAGGCCGTGAAAAAGACGACTCTAAAGTTTAACTGAAAGTCAGAAAAGTGTGATACCTAAGGCAAGATGTGATAGCATTATCAAACAAATTTTAAAAATTGATAAAATGTTACTGTCCCATTTTTATTTTTATTTTTTATAATGAATGTGCTTGGATCTCTTTTAGATGCTCATTTTGTGAATTACCTTGCCTCACCTTATCCTAGTTTGCTATTTGAATAATTCTTTTTACTTTTTGCAAAGTAAGCTCTCTGTATATTCTGTATGTTTCCCAGTTTGTTGTTTGTCTTTTATTTTTGCCTACTGGTCTTTTTTTAAAAAGCATCTTAAATTTTTATGTATTTAATTTGTCCTTCCATTTCTTTTTCCTAGTTGTCCCTGACCTTGCTCTCATCTCCAGTTCTCTTTCTATCAGCCAGTCAGTGTATCTTGTCCTACAACTTTTATTTCCTCCTCTCTACCCCAAGGGAATTTTTTTCTTTATATTCTTATTACTACTTTTTAAAAACCATATTGTGAAAGTGTTACTTCTCAAACTAAATAGTAAGCTTGGAATCGTAATTCTTCCACAGCATCAAGTAGCGGGACCAGACTTCACAGAGGTTATGTAGAAGAAGCCACATTAGAAGACAAGCCATCGCAGACTACCCATATTGTGTTTGTTGTGCATGGCATTGGGCAGAAAATGGACCAAGGAAGAATTATCAAAAATACAGCCATGTGAGTCCTTTGATGAGTACATTCTACATCTAGTCTAAAACTCATACTTTTGTCTAGGCTATGAAAAAGATTAACAGAGTTTACTCATTTTGCTGCCTGTTTCTCCAATGACAACTCTTCCTTTTAATCAGTCAAGTTTCTGAACTGAATTTGAAGAGTGATTATATCTAGATGAAGATAATGCTTGATTGCACCACCACCCCCCATATGGAAAAGAGGCAACTTAACGTATTAAGTTAATTTACATTCATCTAAGGCTGAAAGCAAGAAAAGATGCCGTTTTAAGTTCTTATGCTTTCTTTAAGTGTCTTAGGTTCTGAATTTCAGAAACAGAATACTTCAAAGTCACACAACTCTGAAAGAGCTAAGGATTGTTTAAACTGCAAAACTTAATCTGTTCAATTAATTGCTACCAGAGGAAACTGATGAGTTTTATGCAGAAAACAGTGGGACACCAGGCAGGATATTTAGCTCATTAATTTATATTCAGATTGATGCTGAAACCTCTTTAACAGGTTATTGAGAGAGAGGGAGGGAGAAAGGGTGTATATTTCAAAAACATTAAGTTCCATGTTAAAGGGAATGTTAGAGTAAAAGTACCACAAATTTGACTGTGAGCTAATAACTGGAATGAAGAAAAATCTGATCAGGTTCAAATTTATGGTAAGCACAAATCAGTTGCTGTTGAAAACTGCTTGCAGTAAATGTGTCTCGAGTCCTTATAAAGCAAGTTATGCATGATGCTAGGAACCATGTCCTCAGCAACATCTGGACATCTGGATAATAATGTGGAGTTGTTTCATGTTTTGCTGTAACATCATTTTTTTTTTTTTTTTTTTTTTTTTTTTTCGGATGTACCGGGGATTGATTGAACTCGGGTCCTTGCAAGCGAACCGCTGAGCTAAATCTCCGGCCTGCTGTAACATCTTAATACTACCTGATAGATTAAAGTAAAAGAACTTTTAAAAAAATGGTTATATACTGCAAGGTTGCCCTTTTTAATGTCCATAGCTCTTATAGGAATCTCTTTCTTCTGATTGGTATTTTCTGATGAGTTGTTTATTGATTCCCATGGTAATTCCTGATGTCAAGATACAGATCTTTCAAATATATAGGATCCTGAGAAGTAGGTTTACTGGCATAGTCTCCCCAAGTCACTGATACATGGGAGATGTCAGTTTGTTCTTTGGGTACAAGAAAGAGAAAACTTAACACAAAAAGTCCTAAGCCAGAAGGCAGATTTAGTAGCTCATTATACTGAGAAGTCTAAGGGTGATACTGACAAATCATCAGAATCCTATCAACTCTACCTTCCTTCATGTTGGAGCTACCCAGATACATCCTGTGGCTCCAGATGTGGTGTATAGCACCTTGTGTTAATGAAAGAATAAGTCTTTCTTCCCAAATGTCCCAGGTAGTTTGTGCATTTCATTGACTGATAGTATTGTACAGTTGTCATAACCCCACCCTGGAAAGAGGCCTAACTTGACTTCATTACACCCATAAGGAGAAATAAAGCCACAGATAAGAATCAAGACCTGGTATTGGAAATGGGATGAATGAATCTAATGTGACTCAAAAATGTGTCTCCTTCAAGAAGGATTATTATCATTTCTTCAGAGACAGATTAATTTGATTAGAAATTGATGGAAAATTTTCACACAAAAAGAAATTTTATTCAATAATTGGTGGAACACCCAGAGTATTTCTTACCTTTTCTCATTTTCTACCATTCCTAAGTTTGAGCCTATAGAGAAAATAAAATTAACTTTCTCTTTATCCCTGCTATTCTGAAGCTTATTTGTAGTTGTGATTTGATGTGTGAAACTCCAGTTAATGAACAAGGGAGACTAAGGGGTTACCGTACTCCACTCTGTTGGTGACCTTTTGCTGTCTTACGGATTCCTGAAGTCACGTCTCAAATGCTTGGCACTACACATTTTTCCCTCACCTTTTCTCATTGAAGTTGCTAATAAATTCAAACTACTTTTAATCACTTTTGTTTTAACAAAATATGCCTGTAATCTACATAGGTTGAGAAGAAAGTTTATAGACAACTTCTGAAAATATCAAAATTAATTTATCAAAAGGGATGAATGTATTTTAAATAGAATTGGATTTATTTTTAATACGATTTTATTATAAGAGAAATGCCCTAAATTAGTCATTTAAAGCTATAGTTTTTGAACAGTGTAAAGGGAATTTCAGTTCAACCTGATGGTTTGAGTGAATAAGTTTATCTTATACCCTCCTGAAATTTCACTAAAAATGCTAACAAAGGAATTTTCAAAATAAAAAGCAACATAAACCCTTAAGTACTAAAAAAATAAAATTAGAGGATCGGTTGCAGATAAAAATGTCAACTTTCAAATAGGAAATGCACATCGTTTGTAAATCAAAAGATAAAAATGCATAGCACAAAAGGGCTGGTTCTCATTCCTGTCTCTGTCTTCCCCATTACTCGTTGTCCTTGTGTCACATTTTATTTCTTCTGTATTTTCTTCAGGCATATACCAAATTTTTCACATAAAAGGTGGCGTACTATAAATTTAAGGACTTCACTTTTGCTTAAAAATGAATATCCTATGGGTGATTTTCATGATTTTCCTCCTGAGTATGTGCATATAATAAACACACATATGTCATTTTTTTTTTCAGAGCCATTTATCTATCTTTAGACAATACTTCCCAAGTGCTATTAATCTCATCTTTCCCTTTTCAAAATAGAAACAAAGCATTCATAGGCTGGCAAGAGAGCCTGGAAGATATAATAAGATTATAAAATTATAATCTTTATATATCATGCCAGCACAGTAATTTGTTTTAGTCAAAGATAAAATATATATTTTTTGGTATGGCGATTGAACTCAGGTCCTTGCACTTGCAAGGCAGGCAGCGGAACCCCTGAGCTAAATCCCCGGCCCAGTATTTTGTAATTATTGTATTTTTTTCATTTTTTTCTGTCCCTCATTAGTCTCACTGTGCAGTCAAGACCTATATATTTAAAAAGTAAATCTTACCATCTTTATTATATTATCATTATTTATATGGAATATTATCAGTTGTAAAACAAAACGAGGAAGATCTCTATATTACTGTTTCTTTGAAAATATCTACAAAATTGAGAAACTTTTAGCTAGACTAACCAAGCAAATAAAAATCAAAGTTATTAAAATCAAGAATAAAAAAGAGGACATTACTATTAACTATCAACTTTATAGAAATAAGGTAGAATTATGCAGAATTCTATGTTAACAAACTAAATAATTTAAATAGACCAATCCCTTGAATTTACACAGACTACCACAATTGATTTGGCAATGAATTTGAAGATATGGAAAATCTGAATAGAGCTATAAAAACTAAAGCATTGGAATTAATGCTAAAAACAAGCAAATAGTTCACTGAAAAAGCCCAAAACCAGATGACTTCTCTGGTGAATTCTATCAAACATTAAAGGAATTAGTACTTTATGGACTCTCCAGAATACAGAAGAGAGAGATTTTCCAACTCATCCTGTATAGCCAGTATTACCCTGATACTGAAAATAGATAAAGGCATTTACAAAGAAGGAGGGGGGAACCAATATCTGTTACAAATACGGAACACCAGTTACTGCATCTAGCAACACATAAATCCCATGAATAAGTGGGATTTATCCAAAGAATGCAGGGTTAACTAGAGTGACTTTCTAAGAGGGGAAAAAAAAAAAGATTTAGGTCCAGAGTTCAATTCTTAGTACCAAAAAAAAAATCAATTGTATTTAATATATTAGCAGTTAACAACCTGAAAATGAAATTAAGAAATCAATTCCATTTACTATAGTATCAAAAAGAATAAAATACTTAGGAATAAGTTTAACAACAAAAGTGTAAGATTTGTGTATAGTGACAGACATTTAAGACCAGAGTAAATGGGGAAGGTATCCTATATATGTGGAGTGGAAAATTTAATATTGTCAAGATGGCATTATTCTCAAATTATTAGCGGAATTGAATTGAGAGTTCAAATTTATTTTTTACACTGCCAAGACAGTTCAGTGGAGAAAGAATGGTCTTTTTGACAAATGGAGCTGGGACAACTGAATATTCTTATGTAAAAAATGATGTTGGACTCATACCTCATACCATATAGAAGTTATTTCAAAATGAATCAAAGAGTTACACATAAGAGCTAAGCTGTACAAATTTTAAAAGAAAACGTGAGTAAATCTATTTGACCTCTAATTAGGCAATAGTCTGAGGTATGACATCAAAGTAGAATTTCCAAAGGAAAAAAGGTAAGCAAGGTTTGGTTGAAATTTTTTAAAACTTGTTCTTCAAAGAATGCTACCATGAACGTGAGGGCAACCCTAAAATTTGGAGGGATTATTTATAAATCATGTATCAGTTAAGGGTCTAGTATCCGCAATATGCAAAATACTCTTTACAGTTCAATCATGAAAGAGCACTAACTCAGTCTGTTAAATGGGTGAAGAATGTAAGTAAACATTTGTCCAAGTAGAGTGTACAAATGATCAGTAATCACAGAAGAAGATGCTCAACACCATTAGCTGTTAGGGAAATACAATTCAGAATGAGAGAGATGGCCACTTCAATTTCACTGGGAAGATAATTATCCCAAAAAGGGAAAATAAGTGTTAGCATGGTGCAGAAAAGTTGGAACCCTCGTGTGTGGTTGGTGGAACTGTAAAGTAGTATAACTGCTTTGGAAAAGTTTCGCAATTCCTCAAAACATATGAGTAGCAGTACCACACTTAAGTAGAACTAAATACATGTCCACATAGAAACTTGTTAAAGAATGTTCACAGCAGCGTTACTCATAATAGCCAAAAAATGGAAGCAAATTAAATGTCCATCATCAACTGATAAATGAATAAAAGTGATATACTCTAAAATGAAATATTATCCAACCATAAAAGTAGTAAAATATTGATTCATCATACTGCACTGATGAACACTGAAAATATGCTAAATGAAAGGCCATACACAAAGGGCCACAAATTATTTGATTCCATTTAAATGAAACATCCAGAATAGGCACATCTCAAAGACAGAAAATAGTTTAATGGTTGGCAGAGATGAGGAGGAATACGCTAGTGAGTATGGCATTTGTCTCTGGAGTGATGAAAGCGATCTGATACTAGTAGTGAAAATGGTACACCTCTGCGAATATACTAAAAGCCACTGAGTTATTTAAAAAACAAAACTAGTGAGATTGTGTCAAAAACACCCAAGTTCGATCCCCGGTACTCCCCCGAAAAAAACCACCCAAAACCCAGTGCAAAGAAACTCACAGACTCAAAAATGGGAGACATTCTGAGCATTAGTAAGGATAATAAAAAACAGTGGATTGAAATAGCTGCCAGAGTTTAAATCTGAAGTTATAAGACATCTGCTGTGGGTTACATGTGTTTTGCATGACCACAAAGGCTTCATGTGTTGAAATTTAACCCCAACTGTAAGTCACTAAGAGGATGGAAGTTAACTCCACTTATGGTATTTGGCAGTAAGGCCTTTGGGAGGTGATTGGGATTCGGTTTGGCAAATAGGGTGGAGCCCCCTGGATTGAATCCTGGTGACTTTGTAAGAAAAGGGAGAGAGACCAGACATCCAGAGGTTGTGTCCCTGTCATACAATGTGTTGCTCACATCAGCCCCTCAACCTCGCACCTCCAGACCCATGACCCAGAACAGCCTCTTTATAAAGTAGCCTGTTGGGGGTGTTTTGTTATAATAACTTAAAACCAGCTACTGTATCATCAAAATCTGTAAAACCTAGTAGCTATTTTGAAAACTGTTAATAAAAGGGAAGAATTAATTATATCCTCCCTTCACATAATCCCAGTTTATATAGAAACTGTGCCTCAGGGCAACCATGTGTTTGATATGAAGAAATGCCTGTGTCTAAAAGTAGATACTTTTAAACACATAAGGAGTAGGAGTAGTGGGATTTTTAAAAGTGTATTTTGGAGCCATGGATTAATAGATCTAAGCAGTGATCGTCAATAACTGTCAGCATCAGTAAAGAAAGAGAAAACCTGATATCTGAACCTGTGGATTCTTACAAGAACAACTTGAATCTGATCAGCTTCTATGTCTCACTACCAGTTTACAGAAATTACAGGACCAGGAGCATGTTAAATAGCATGCTGAATCCAGAGGGATTCAGCCAGCAAAAATCGGACTCTGGGAGACTCTAGACAAAATTAGAACCAAACAGAAAAGCAAGTTACAGAGGACAAAAAAACCTATAGATTCAAACACACTTAAGAGACCCTAACATTTGGAATTTAAGTATAAAAATTGTTTAATGTTATTATGAAATAATATCTACAGTTCAGCTGGAAAAATGGGACCACTGAACTAAATATTTGCTGAAATAAAAAAATATTTTGATGCAATAGTATTGACTAATATATATTTTAGAAATACTAATATAGAAATACTAATTTAGAAATAGAAATTTCTAATTTTAGAAATTATATAGTTTATAGATAAACTTATGTGATGTCTGAAATTTGCTTTAAAACATGGGAGAGTGTGTAACTGTTAAAGGGGAATTGTGAGTTTTTCAGAATGAACTGTTCAGTGTCTTGATTCTATAGTGCTAACCACAGTTTGTATGTGTGCTAAAATTCATAAAACTGACACTAAAAGGGAAAAAGTAAATTCATTGATATCTTAATTTAAAAAATAAGATTTTAAAATGTACATTACAGGGAGAATGAGTAGAGAGATAAATGAAATAAGGTGGGCCATGACTAGTTGATACAGTATTTAGAGCTGGGTATTGACATTGGGGGTATTCATTACAGTGTTCTGTGTACATTTGTAATATGATATAAAAGCTTGGGACATTTGAAATCATACGTGGAAGACTTAGGAAAATAACTTTGAAATGAAGACGTCCTGGTATTGCAGACCTAGTGTAGCGGTAGTTGAAATATAATTTGACAAAACTATAGACAGATGGAAGTATTATGATTAAAGATGTTTTACATATGTGAAGCCACTGTCAAGGGTTTTTTTTTCCCATTTATTCATTTATTTTATTTTTTAGGATGAGAGAGGCTGCAAGAAAAATAGAAGAAAGGCATTTTTCCAATCATGCAACACATGTTGAATTTCTCCCTGTTGAGTGGAGGTCAAAACTTACTCTTGATGGAGGTATATTTTGTTTTAAAATTGAATGATTTAACCACTAGCAAACTTTTAGCAAAGTAAATGTAGTAAATTTTAGAAACACATTTTACCCAATAATAACAGAGTGTCTTCAGTTTCATTGTCTTGGGTAAGCTGTTTGTTTTAGATTATTCTATACTTGGTAACTGATGGTCCTAGGAGGGGAAAAGGTAAAAAATGATCTCTATTTTTAGGTACCAGGTGAATCAAAAGACATAACAACATATGAACATTAAGACCAAAACATATGAGAAAAAAAATTCAAGAAAGTACTTTATAATCTGAGTAGGGAAAGATTTCTTAAAATATCAAAACCTAATTAAAAAGTAAAGTGAATGGATTTGATTAGATTAAAATTAAGGACCTCAATCAGGCATAGTGGTACATGCTCAGCTACTCAGGAGGCTGAGACAGAAGGGTCACAAGTTCAAACTCAGCCTGCGCTGAGGGAGGCCCTGTCTCAAAATTAAAATTGAAAAGGGCAGGGCAAGGGTGTGTCTCAGTGGTAGAGCACTTGCCTAGGCTGAGCAAAACCCTGAGTTTCATCCCCAGTACCACAAAACAAAACAACCTTTTTATCAATAGACCATATACCACAAAGGAATGGAAGACAAACCACACCTGGGGAAAAATGTTGCAACAAAGCAACATATATAACCACCAAAGTCCAGAGTAAAGAGGAGGAAAATATATACAGTATATTACAAAATATGTTGTATGGCCTATGGATAACTACAGTAGTTTCTTTACATCTTTGAAAAGACTTCTTTCTTGTCCTTGCCTTCCAGTCCTTAATGTATTGAAGTGGAAAATAAAATAATGTTGGCCAATGCAGTGAAAAATTGGAGGATTTTAAAAATTGATTAAAATCATAAGCCTTTTGCCTCCTTGTACTTTTAAGTAGTAATGTAATAGCTCTTGTTTATCATTCTATTTTAAGTTGTTGCTGGTTTGCTGTTAGTGGCTTCAGGAGCTCCACATGGGTATTGCCAGGCCCAATATCCATGAATCCAAAAAAATTGATAACCTTCATCTGTGCTTTAATATTCCTTCCCTTGCATGTTCCCTTTTGTCTTTTATTGTTTTTCTTGCAATAATTTGCAAGAAGAGAAGTCCCATTAGAGCTAAAGCTGGCCTTGAACATTTAAATGTTAAATTATTATAGGATATAAATTTTTTTTCACAGTGTATTTTTCTCCCAAAATAAAGATCTTAAATATATTTAATTTTTTGTTTATTTTTTGGTTTTGTAGACACTGTTGATTCCATTACTCCTGACAAAGTACGAGGTTTAAGGGACATGCTGAACAGCAGTGCAATGGACATAATGTATTATACTAGCCCACTTTATAGAGATGAAGTAAGTATCATGATTATTTTGTGGCTGAAAGGTATGTTTTAGAGGGATAGCATGTCAATTCCCTGCATATTAAGATTTTATGTTCTTTTTTAAAAGCAGATGAGAAGTAACAGGACTTGGTTAATATAAACAGCCTGTGTTTGATAGTGAGTTTGATGATCAGACTGGACATTGGGACCTTTAATAAAATAGGTGGTCTCATGAGTGGGGTCTTCATTAGTAAATAGTTCTTTGAAAAATACCCATTTTTATAAATCCCATGAATTATATCTCTGATCTTGTTGTCCTTACCAAAAAGTATGAGACACTTCGAATTTTCCTTTGAATTATTTATATGTCATAGGCATTTTATTGTCTCTCTTCTATAATGGTCCTTAGAGTTCTCAAATGGTAATATTGCGGGTGCATCCCACAGAGAGCAGTGAAGAGAGTGAGGGGTGAAGGTTTACTCAGTGGAGTGGGAGAATCTCTACCAAAGGTGTTTTCGCTGTATTGGAAAGGAGGTGTTCCAGAGAAATAACATTTGTTGCTTGCCTAGCATGCATTAACTTGTCCACTCGTCCTCATAACCCTGTGAAGGAGGTGCCATCAGTGTCCTGCTTAACCAGTGAAGTCACTAATGCAAGGGAAGTTAAGGGACCTGCCACAGTCTCACCTGAAAAGTGACAGTGTCGGGATGAGGCCGGGGTAGACCACAACCTGCGTTCTTTACACTTCTCTCCTCTGTTCACAGCACGGCCACTCTGTGGGCCACTGGCTGGGCATTTTACTTCCCCAGGCCTTGCGTTTAATCAGTGTGGTTAGCACCTGCTCTGTGCCGGATGCTGGCCACCTTCAGGCCACTTCACTGTAAACTGTTACCCTTGGTTAGTGGAGCACCAGGGAGAATCCATATAGGTGGTTAAAGTAAAATAATCAGTTCTTTGGTAAAATTTCTTTATTGGGAATCAGGAGGTAAGATCTGACTATATATCCAATTCAGCTGATAAACTGCGTTCTGAAGTAAGCAAATTATTTACATACTTATTGAATTTATTATGTATAAGATACTTTAGTTGGCTACTAGTCCCTACCCTCAAAAAAAGTTTAAAATGGTGCATGAGAGTACATGCACACACATTCATGAAATGTGTCTAAGGAAAAGAAGGCCATGGAAAATTTTGAAATTGTTCTTGACCCCCTTGAAAAAAATATTTTAGGCTGTTACAGTATTTAAGATAAATTTGTATTCATATTTATCCGTAATCATAATTGTCCCATTTTTGTTTGTCTGTTCGTTTGTTTTGGTTTTTTTCATACAGGGTCTCACCATGTAGTTGAGACTGACCTAGAACTCACTGTGTAGCCCAGGCTGGTCTTGAACTCACAGTGATCCTCCTACCTCAGCCTCCCGAGTGCTGGGATTACAGGCATGCGCCACCATGCCTGGCTCCCATTTTTTTTCTAAAAACTATGCAACAGGAATGGTCTAATGCAGGTTATATACATACTGTAGGAACAGATTGCTTGATTCCAGTTCCACTGTAACATTACTTTTTGTGACTTCTGTATCTGCAAAATGGATATCATTCTAACCCTTACTGCCTTTAGGGGTCTTGTAAGGATTGATCGAGACATTCCCTCCTTAACATGTAGCAGATAGCAGCAGTCATTAGGAACAGTTACTGCAGGTACTGTAATGTCAAGTCATTGCAGTTGCTGAATCCTGAGTAGAATCTCCCTCCCGTGAAGAAGTAGACCACTTGCTGTTGCGGATCCTCTGCTTCCAGAGGAGAAGGAAGTGTTTGACCTTTCTGTGGGAGCTTGCTTTTATCAATTTTTTTTTTTTTTTCTGGTACCAGGGATTGAACTCAGGACCTTGTGCTTTCGAGGCAGGCAGCGGCACCACTGAGCTCAATCCCCAGCCCTTTTATCAATGTTTTTAATCTAAAAATATTTCTGACTTCAGAAAATTTAGACTGAAATGAACCCTGGCAATAGGATTTAATATATATGCTTTCAAGATTGTATAATACGTTCAAGACTATATAAAAATAGATTTTTTGGACTGTAATGGTACTGAAGTGAAATTGTCCAGAAAGGGAATGTAGGATGTTGAGAGAAAAGGGATCCAGTCGGATTGCTGAGGAAAGAACATCAGTTAATGTGCAGGCAGGTGAAGGACACTAGAAATCAGAGGTGTCATCATCCGCTGAGAAGAGCTTCCTCAGAGAGAGAAGTAATTGCACCCGTTTTCAGAGAAGGCGAAAAGGTGAAGAGACCATTCTGTGCAGAGGCCGAGAATAAGTGTAGGCAGGCAAGAATTCTACCACTGAACCACCGGTGCAATAGTAAGAGAAGGAAAAGGTCAGAGGTTCAGAGTTGAGGATGGGGAGGGAGCGACTGGAAGAGCCAGGGCTGGGCTGTGGTGTGGAGATGAGAACTTGGAGGAATAACTCACACTTGGGCGGGACTGTGGACGCAAGATGGCGGGGTAGAGTTCACCGGTTCTTGACTACATGTGGGTAGACCTTCAAAGTTCCAGTTAAAATTCTGGGCTTCTGTGAGTCAATAACTGTTAAGGACTTTCAGCCAGAAGAAAATTTAAACATTTGCCACTGCAGTCAAAGCCTCTGCAAGTTACCTTTCAAAAACAGCACCTTTTCTTTAGTTTCAACATCAAAATGGCAAAGCTCAGAGGCACTGTTTTGACCAGCTTGAAGAATTAAAAATTACCTTCCAAAGTGTCAGACAATTATTCAGCCCACTTCAAGAGGAATGGACAATATTTCTTTGTTCCCTGGGGTCTGTACTGTCTTCAGTAAAGCTTTTCATTGTTGATACATAACTAGTTTTTGCGGTTTCTTGTGTGATTGAGGACTTTGTTCCATTCAAGATTTATATATGTGGATTAATTTGAAGTATCGGCATATAATATTGGCAGAAATGTACTAACGGGGCCGGGGATTTAGCTCAGCGGGTCAGTGGCCTGCCTTGCAAGCGCAAGGACCGGAGATCAATCCCCGGTACCAAAAAAAAAAAAAAAAAAAAAAAA